ATGCTGTAAAAGAAAGGAAAAAATGCAGTAGAAGAGAAAAACAAGGAGATTCTAATTTAGATTAAGGGTGAGATTGGTAGACTGGATCTGTTCTAGGCTCATTGATACAGAGAAAATCGTTTGCAGTTGTTGTGTAGCAAGTAATTGTCTTTTGTGGTAATGTACAGGCTCTTGAGAGCTCAGATGTTCTCCTTGTATACCACAGCAGTAAAGACTGTAAGCCTGAAGTTTGTTTTTTTGTTAAAGCATGACAACCCCCTGATGCTGTACCAGTTGCATTGAGGGTGGGATTTCAGCAGCACCTATTTGAGAAACTATGTAAGCAGAGGCTTGGTCTATATTCTTATTTCATATCTGTCACATATCCTTTTGTACTCTTTGTCTCTTCTTTAGATGACATATTTATTAGGGTACAGACTAAGCTGCTGTAATAGAGACCTCTAAACACCCTTTTCTAGATAAAAATAGAAGTTTTTTTTCTCTGTTGTGTAATAATTAAGAGGAAAGTTGTTCAGAGCTGTGGGGTGTCTGCTATCCTTCACACATGGCATTCATCTCCAGGGTTAAGGTAGCTGTTCCACTACTCTTTGCCCTCAAATAAAAGGGGAAATCCAGGGAAGGGCACTCATACACCTTTTAGGGCATAGCCTGAAAGTGTCACATTCCTCAGTTCACATCCCTTTTGTTAGAATCCAGCCATATGGCCACCAGGTCACAAGGGATGTTGAGAAATAGCTGGGTTTTAACTATGTAATATTTAAAACTTAAGACTTATATTACCAAAGAAAAGAAGAGTAAATGTTTGTGGACTGACAGCCCCATTTCTGCTACAAGCAAACTAAAGTGAAAATAATTTAGCTGAACTGACATATTATTCTTACTAGTCCACAGTGTTTGTGGTACAGCTAAGCTCAGTGTGTCAGGATTATCTTTCTTCAGAAGTAGCCTGAATGGTGGGTATGAGTCAGACAGACAAGCAAAGGAGGAAGAGGAAAAGCATTTACAAAAGTTGGGCCATGGTGAAGAGGTTGGCAAATTCAAGAAATGGAAAGAAGCTCTCTAGGTTGTGTGATGAGTAAAAGAGTTATGCAAAAGGAGATGGTAGAGATAGGCAGGAGTGATCAGAAGGGACTATGGTTCTTTAATAGACCTTTGGACTTTATTGAAAATTCAGTGACAGTTTTTAACAGAGGAATAGTGTCATCTATTTGAAGTTAAAAAATATCATTTTGGGTTCTGGGTCTGGAAGGTCACTGTGAGTTTAAGAAATAAAACAGATAGATCTGTGAAAACCATTTGCAGTGGTCAGGGTGAAAAATGATAATAGTTACTTGAACCTGGTAATACAAGGATTTAGAGAAAAGTGGACAGATTTGAAAAGTATATCAGAGAAAGAATTGACAAGCCTTGGTGAAGTATTGCATATGGGGATGAGAAAGGGTAAAATGCTGAGGAGGACCTAAAAAGTTCCTTTGAGAACAACAGAATAAATGAGATTGACACTGTTATGACCTTGAGTTTGAAGTGGAGTGTTAGTTAGCTCTCCAGCACTGTAACAAAATACCTGAGATAAACAACTTATAAGAGGAAATATTTATTTTAGCTCATGATTTCAATAGTTTCAGTCTTGATAGGAGCAAGTGGCAGAGGAAATGGCTTCCCTCATGGTAGCTTTATGATGAAGAGTCAGGAAAAGGCCAGAGCCTGAGTATCTTTCAAGTGCATGCCCCAAGTGACTTAACTTCAAAAATAATAAAACAAGACAATTGATACTTTTTCATTATTAATAGGATTATGTGATAATAGCCATATGACTAAGATTTCAAATGTTTTTCTAAATTCTGAGTTATATTCAAGTATATAGAATTCATGGGAACATACACAATTTTTTTTCCCAACTAAATGTATAAGTTTGGAAATTAAATCATAAAATGTCATTTCTCAGACCACATATTGAAAAAGTGCAGAAGAAACACCATCGTTTTATAGATAAAAACTGCTAAAAGCTAATTAGTACTGCAAAGGGCAATGGTAACAGGTGATAATTTACTCCAGTGACCTAAAGGAAGAGAAAACAGTAAAGTTAACATAATCATTTTATGTGAGATTGATATCCTTTTATTTAAAATTGATTTTTAAAAACAATTTCAGTTTTACAGACTATTTTTGAGCATTCATTGTCTCATATAAAAGCAGTTAATTCAGCTGCTTTTCTGGTCTCTGAAAAACAGGAACAACCTCAGATCTACAGGTACTAACAGTTGAAATCTTCTAGTTTATGTTGATGTAGTTGGTAAAAGTTGAAATAATATATAAATAGCACAGGAAAAAGGGAACCATATTTATTGCTATTTTCAATCTCACATATTTGTAGGAAATTAGATGGTATGCTCATGAAGAATAAGCACTGTCCAGTAGAAATCCAATAGAAATATAATGTGAGCCACATATGTAATTTAAAATTTTTAATCTCATTAAAATTCCAAAGAATTTGATGAAATTAATTTTAGTGATATATTTTATTTATCCCATACTTACAATACTGTTTCAAAATATAATCAATATAAAAATTATTCATGAAATAGTTTCTATTTTACACTTAGAGTAAATCTCAGTTTGGATGAATGACATTTCATTTGGACAGTGCAGTTCTAGAACACATATTTTCTTTTCATTTTCTATACATTCATACAAAGCTCAGAAACTATGACTGGGTAACTAGAAGTAAAGGTTTAAAGTTTATGATTTTGTCAGGAAGAGATTGTGAGATTGATACTCCTGGATAGCTCAAGCAACAGTCACATGTAGTCAAGGGCATAATGGAGTAAAACCAGAGGAGTGGGTACACTTGATTCCATTGCCTGTGAGCAAAAGTATTATGCATATTCAAAGAATAATGTGTGCTTGATTTATAGAGAGCTAAATTGTCAATTTCCTATTTTATTAAAAAGTACACTTTTTTTGCACACATATAAAGCATGACTTATTTGTTTTTAATTTTTAAAAGCAAAAATTAAAAATTCCCCAACCCATTTAGGTTAAATAATATTTCTAAAAATTGAGAACATTTTCTTTTCCTTCCATCGTAATATATTTTGGGGATAGTAATTAAATATGTGCCCTGATATTCATTTCTATTGTTTTATATTTTAAAACCATTTGAAACTTAGAAAAAAATAATATTATTCAAACTAGAATAAAGAGCATTAAGACAGAAGATTTATTTTTGTATCCTTCAGCTGTATTATTGTTTGGATATGTGGATTACCTAAAAATGTTCATTTATTGAGGTTAGATTTTAATATTAAAAATTCCTTCTTAAATGAATCCTGGTATATGCACTTTGTGGGCTAAATGAATTAGGCTCTAAACTTTTATCTGAATCTATGGAGCTTCGATATAAATTGAAAAGATCACAGCTATGGGGAGAAGACCTATACTGCAAAGGCCTTTCTGCATAGATTATGAACATCATAACTCAATAATTTTTTCAAAACTATGGTTATAATTGGACCCAATGGGGGTTTGTTTCTTTGATCAGATCACAGCAACTGTGACTTCACACTGGAAAATGTCACCACTGTGCAGGTTTATCACCTGTAGAGCTGCTCTTTCCTCTGATGCTGTGCTCATTTCTCATTAGCATTATTCAAAGTTTAGTTGTTAATTAGGTTGACACTTCAATTACAATCATCATCTACAAGACTAGTCAGGACTACTTGCATAAGGAAATAAAAATATTCCTTTTTGCATATATGTGTAAAGGATAAATGACATTATTTTATTATCTGGTAGTTTCATATAGTAAGAACATGCTCTGTTAAGGGAGGAATCCAATTGGAATTTGTCTCAGTTTTTATTAAGAAAACAGAATTGTTACATAGTTTTACGTTTCTGTTTTAAGCATCGATGGGGGTTGTGTATGAGGATCAATATTTTTAAATATAAAGACTATAGTTTTCCATTGTATGTGAAAGAAATTATTGAAGTGAATTTGATGCATAGGAGAATGTTACATATCTCCTCTCAAAAAAATGAGTTTACATCAGGAGTAGAACTCACTTAAACATTAATCTGATAATATTGTTCTCTAAAGTGCGTAGCACTTGAAATTAAAGGATGGAATATGTCTGAAAAATGATAACACATTTAGGTGACTTTTAAAATCATACAAATTCCTAGATGAATCTTTCTTAATTTAAAAACATTAGTACTTTTTTGATTACTGGTTTATGATATAGTGACATTGAACTTAAGGCCAGCATGTGGTAGTCTGAAAACTAGAAAGAAAGTGTATACCATATATTTTCCTCTTATTAGCTACATAGTGAGGGCAGGTTAATTCATGTCTTTGCATCTCTTATCTCTTCATTCATAAATGGGATATGAATTCTTTTCTTAGAAGACTATTGTGAATATTAAATGAGACAATGTGTAACATTTGGAGAACATAATTCTCCACTCATGGTACGGTCTCAATAAGTTTATCTCTTCTTCCCTCTTTTTTTTTCTAATAATGACAAAACATATCAACAAATGACTGGAAAATTACATGTGCAAATGAAGCTTTCAAAAGTAAAATAAAATTCTAAGTGATCCTGAAGAACCCACAACAAATAACCTTACATAGCAGAAATGAGCTATATTCAATGAGCTTCACCTCAAAACAAGTGGACACATGTTGTAATTGCTAAAAATCTGCAGAAAAGTGGCTCACAAGCAGTTTACTGTAAAATAATTAAAGCTTATTTATGTCAAGAGGCCTTGGGAAAAAAAAGAGAGCATAAACCAATTTGCATTAGCACGTTACTATTCACTCCTGCTTTGGTTTCAATTAACAGACCAGCAGGTGCTCGCTGCAGTTAAAAAGATAAGCTATCAGGAAGAAGGATGAATTTTTGGCTGACCTGCAGACACTGTGGTTTGCCTGCTGATTGGGTTCGTACGTCGCTGTACCAATTTCTGAGGTGTTAATTTAACTGTTCTTCTCTGTCATGCAGGTCTCAGCCTTGAAAAATAAACTGAAGAAACAGTCTACAGCTACCGGTGATGGACTAGCTAGGGCCTTTCTTAGGGCACAGGCTGCTTTGTTTGGATCCTACAGAGATGCTCTGAGATACAAACCTGTAAGCATTTTATTTCATCACTATTGTATAGTTCTTTGGAATGAGGCAAAAGAAAGAAACATCATTTTAATATCACACCTTAAAAAAGTATCATGACTATCTTATAAAATCCAACATAATATACTATAAAACATCTCCAATTCCTTGGCTTTCTGTGTTAAGTTTTTTGGCAAACTTTAGTTAATACTTCCCACACTTTTGCATATCACCTTATTAAAATTCTAAAAATGGAACACTTACCTCTTAACTAATTAATTGTGTTCAAACATAAAGCACTTATCTGATCTTGTTAAAATTATTACGAAATTCATCAATCAAATTTATTTAATGAATTTAAATATGACAAGTACAATGTGAAAGTTTAAGAAGTTAAAACTGAAAATTTTTGCAATATTTGGAAACTTAATTGTTTGCCTAATGTGTAACACATTTCTAAAGTGGGCTTATCTATTTAGTGTATTTTGGCTCATTTTGCTGTTAATTTTACATTCTAAAAATGGTTATTGTGTAGAATTATAGCCAAGTTTTTAGGTGGTCTAATCTGCATTATTGATTAAGGTATGTTAAGTTGATTTATAAAAATGATTATACTACTGTTCCATGACCAGATAAATATATTTCAAAGGATAAAAACATAGAATTAGTAAAAGTAATACAAAGACCTGCTGTTTATTAGGAAGTTTACTAAACTGTAGTACCCTTAGTCACTAGACTTTGATCTTATTTGTAGAATGAGAATTCTTATAGTTTCTCTATCTTTCAGGGTTGGTTTGTAAATCCCTATTGTAAAGTAGGAAGTACTAAACATATGTGAATGTGTTCAAGGGTTATTGAGTTATTGGAAGACTCTTAAATGCATGAGCATATTGATTTTCAGTTTTTTCAAAACAATCTTGAAAGCCATAATTTCAGTACCTGTTAGAAATATATAATTTTATCATAGAATATCTTTGTTTTTATTGATCCCATTTGTTAATTTTTTCTAATTTTTTTCCTTTTAATTTTTGATGTTTTCTCTTTTTATTGCTAGTTCTTTTAGGGAGCTGGGGAATAGTATTTTCATTTTGTATGCATTTTTATTGACTTTGAAAAGTTTTTAAAGTTATTGAAAACATTCAGGTTTTTTAAAAATTTGTTTTTCAAAAGTAACAGTATTCAAGGGAAACTATTCATATCTTTATTATGTTTAAAATGTGTTTTAAGCCATTTTCTTTACAAATTGATTGTGTCATAATTTATTAAAATGATTGCTTTTTTTCTAGATTATTTTTGGTCATTTGTATAATAGGTATATGTACTTTATATATTTTTGATAGATATAAATAAAAATGGATCAAGTGTTGAAATTATGATATTTCATGGTTTTGCCTATTCATGAATATATTTTAGTAGAATATTCTCACTAGTAGAGTATAACTTTAAAGGAAAAACCTACTAAATACCTTTAAGGTGGATATAAATTCTTTCATTAGGCCTTACTTTTTAAAGTTTTATGATTGTTCATGGGTATAAAAATGAATTATTATTTCCTTTACTGACAACACTTAAAATGTGTTTAGGCCCAGACTAACCAGGGTGTCAGGCTATCTCTTCACCTGATGCTGAGCAAGTAATCTGTCTTCCTTTTACTTTCTTTCCAAAACTTTGACCTCAGTTTATATAATTCTGCCTGAGGCACCAGTAATCTCAAGCTTCTCAGGCTCCCAAACCTTTATTTATAATTTTCTTTCTTTCTGGCAGTTCTTTTATCTCCTATGATTTTAATGTTCAGCCAAGTTACTTCCTGATTCTTGACTCCATACTTCATGCCTGATCCTTTCTTTCTGTGAACTATATATTCATTTTCCTTAATATACTACTTCTCCATTATTCACTGATTATTTTCTTGTTATTTTTACTCATACTTGTAATTTTTGATTGCTATTAAAGCAGTAACTGACTGCTGAGCACCCATTAGATGCCAGACATTGATAGGCCCTAGAGATAAACACTTCCATTTAATTTTTACAAGCCTTCAAGACATTACCTTTTTATTTTAAATATAAACACAATGATAATCATAGAGTTGAAAAAACCTCACTGTGTTTCCCTAGCTAGTGAACAGTAGGACCTGGATTAGATTGTTCTTTCCACCGTCCCTCTCTCCAGTGTAACATGTTCCTGTTCAATCTTGCCTGTTATCATAGACTCCTGAAGGTACATTTCCTAAAAGGTGTATGTCTTCTTAAATGAATGTGTTGGGGCTCAGAAAAATGATACCCCAAGCTGTGCTTTGACGTGTTGATCCAGAGGAAGTCTCAGAACTAAGGTTTCTCTGACCTTCTTGCCTTCTTTACCCTACACCTGCTGTGTCCCTCAATGTCTTTGGTCCTTTCTTCCCAGAAGCACAGGGCGACTTTCTCTGAGGTTGCCTTCCCAGAAGGAAGGCAGTTGTTATGAAATCTTATCATATAACCAGAAACGTTAACTGTCAGAGACAATAACATTACCATGCCCATAGGGTAAGTTAAAGTATGGTAACTTTAACTTACCCTATGGCCATGGGTAAGTCTGTATATGTATCTAATGTATAATGATGGAAATCAGAGTAATTAGCATTTCCATCTCATCAAACATTTATTATTCCTATTTGTTGAGAAACTTCAAACTTTTCTAGCTGTTTTTAAGTATATCATAGATTGTTTGAGACTGTAGTTTCCCTTCTAGACTATAGAACACCAGAAGTAATTTCTCCTAATTAAACCCAAGACTTTATTTCTTCTTAATCAGTTTTTGTTTTCTTTTAGGACTTTGAATATATCATCCCAATATCTTCTGGCCTGTAAGGTTTCTGATGGGAAATCTGATTTTGTCTAATGAGATTGCTGTAGTCGTGACTTGTCACTTTTCTCTTGTTGTTTTTAGAATTCTATCTTTATCTTTGATTTTTCACTTTGACTGTAATATGCCCTGGAGGTCTTTCTTGATTGAGTATACTTGGGATCATTTGAAATTCCTGAATCTGGATATCCATATGTCTTTCAGGACTTATTTTCAACTATTTTATTAACTTGGATTTTTCTGTATTTAATGTCTTTTCTTATCTTATCTCCTTTCAGAACTCTCATAAGATGAATATTTCTTTGTTCAACAATGTCCTTTATGCTTTTAAGACTTTTTTCATTCTTTTTATTTATTTTTTTCTTTTTGTCTGAATGGGTTATTTCAAAATATCTGTCCTAAAGTTTATAAGTCTTTGTTCTGCTTGGTTCTATTTTTTGTTGAAGTTCTCAATTGTATTTATTTCATTGATTAAAGTTTTGGGCTACAGAAATACTGTTTGCCTCCTTTTTATTATTTATCTTGGTCAAATATCTCATTTATATCATGAATTATTGTCTTCACTTTGTTCATTTGTTTATCTGTATTCTCTTGCATATCACTGAGTTTTTACTTAGAATTGTTCTTTTGAATTCCTTTCCAGGTATTTCATAGATGTCCTTCTTTCTCATGGGTATCTGTTTATGGAGAATTATTGTGTTGCTTTGGCAGTATCATTCTTTCTTGCTTTTTGTGATTTTACTTATATGTCTGCATATCCAGTGTAACAGGAATCTTTTCAAGTTGTAAGGAGTAGCTTTCATAGGAAAGGAATTTTTTGTTCAGGTGTGTAGTGTACGATGTTGGGTAGGTAGATGCTTTGGCTTTGGTTCTAAGTGAGCACAGTATAGCCTTCATGTGATTTCTTTAACTGTAATCAAGTTAGCCATGTCTACATATGCCTCTGTAGTCTAGACAGCAGCATTTTGGTGTGTGTGTGTGTGTGTGTGTGTGTGTGTGTGTGTAAAGGTAGGTAGTAGTACAGTTTTACAGTGGATGACTTGTTGCTTCTATGTTATTTCTTTAGCTGTAAGCAGTATTATCCATGTCTACAAGTACCCAGTAGTCTAGACTGCTGCTGTTTTTGGAGAGAGTGGTACAATTTTGCAGTGGATGTGGATTACCAAATATGTATGTCCTCAGGTCCTGCAGAGTTGAGCGTTAACAGTGGTGTAGCTTGCAGCAGCTGCGACCACAATCCTAGAGCCATGGGATGCAGAGGGGACTGTCTGTAGGTCCCAGGAGTCAAATATAAGTGATCCTATGGTTTGTGGTGGCAATAGCAACAAACATTCCCAGTATCACAGGACATGGACAGGACTATCTCTAGGGTTTGCTAAGTGAGCATGGGTAATACTGGAGTTTTTCGCAGCAGCAGTCCAGTCCCAGTCCCAGAGTATTGGGATACAGAGGGGCCTGCTCTTTGCTCTGTGAGGTATGTGTTGGTTCTGAGGACTTTTAGTAATATCAGCCAATATATTGGGATGCTCATGGACCCCTGAGGCATAGAGTCTAGCAGTGATTCTGTTCTAAAGATGGTGCTGTGCTGCAGTGTCTTGATTTCTGGGGTTGAACATTGAATTAGGGGTTGGGAGGGGCTCATTGTGAGTTCCTTCTCTGGGTCCAAGCAGTTACATGGACCCTAGGCAGCTCCTTCAACTGGATTAAGCCTGTGAGGCTGTGGAACTCTCCTCTACTTAGAACTGCTGACATGCTGTGATGATGGTGGTCACTTTTCCCCATAACTTTTTCCTGACATTGTGAAGTTCCTTCTGGCTGAGGAGCAAGGATCACAGTTGCAGTATGCTTTGATCCTCTCTCTGTGCTGCCATTCTGTGTCTCCATGCTATTTAGGGTTCCTGTTACTCCTGTGCTGAGTTTCAGAGTTCTGCCTTAGTCACATTCCTTGTGATGCAGCCCTTTGTTTGTTGCCCTGGTTTATCACTGTGCTGGAGGTAAATGCCAGGCCATCTCTTCAGCTGTCTTATAACTTTCTCCAGAGGGTTTTTACCTATTCTTCTCAGGAATGCTATGAGAGATTACCTGGGAAACTTTATCTAAATAATGAGACAACCAGCCTTTGTTCACAGTGAAGTTCAACCCCTCACCTCCCCCGCAAAGTAGAAAAAAATTTTGTCTCA